TTCCAAAAACACATCAAGCCTCCTGATGCTCCTATCGATTCCTTCATTACCCAGCCACACTCTCTCGAATTCCACACTGTTCTACTCAATTCATCATCCACCCTTTCTAACTTAGACTCTTGCACAAATAGAAAATCTGGTTGTTCCTTTCTCACCAATTTTCCTATCTCTTTCCTTTTCAACACACTACCCAAGCCCCTAACATTGAAAGAAATCAACTTCATCAACTAAATACTCCCACACCCACCTAATCACTACTACTGTACCCTTAAAATCACTTCCCCTATCGTTCCCCTGCCTCGTCCCTCTCTTCCAACTCCACTAACCGAGACTGGATTCCCCTTCATTTTCTTGGGTTTGAAAACCCAATCTCTTCCATACGCTCATCATCTTCCTCACCTCATGTAAGATCATCTCTCTTCTAAGCTCCTTGTTTCTATTTGCAATGCATCCATCAGAAATTGAACAACTACCGACCATATTTACCTTGTTCGCTAACCCCGTTGAAGATTCTGCTCTCCCTTTGTGTCGTTGGTTTGCTCTTGCATTTGTCTCCTGCATCTTCTTTGCCCAGCTTTTCGCTAAGCTCTCTGGGTAACATTCCTCCAGCTTTCTTCTTCGTTTGCTCCCTAATATCGTCAGATCCAGATCTGGTTTTGGTAAAATCCTGTCATCATTTTTCTCATCGGGCCCTTTCTTTTTAATTCTCATCATCTGTCCGCGACTAAGGTCCCTTCCCATGCCATTTACATCTTTCAGTCCAATTTCTCCCAGCCTAATTTCTTTTGTTATCTTCGACCCAATGTCTTTGGTCGGCCCACTAACCACATCCTCTCTACCATCATTTCCTTCTTCTATATGCCGACTCTCCCTTTCTTCCTCTGTGTTTTTGAAATTTGAATTTGAATTCCAATGTGCATCCTTCATTAATTGCTCCTCATCAATGCTAACGTCCTCTTCGTCGCAGATTTCGAAGTTTATCCAATCCTGATCCTCCTCATCTATTTGCTCCATAGAATGCTTCGAAGACTATTCTGAAGATTGGTCCGACTCCGTTAGTGACTCACCCCGCCACTCATCATCCGACAACCACCAATCTGGGTCGGATCACCATTCTTCTTCATCCACCCGTATCTCATACAACTTTTCTTCCACCTTTAGTGTAATTCTTTTAGAAATCTTATGATCTACAAAGCATATAACTAACATTCTCCCATCACATAAAACTGACTTCATCTTTGTATCTTCATGGATCTTGATCACCTCTTCGATTGATTCTCCAATCATCTTAAAGCATCTATTACTCCATGCTTTCAAAGGAATACCAGAGATACGTAGCCAAACCATTCTGCTTCATTCTTGTACTTCCTTATCCCATGATTGGATGTCTTCAAACCACAAAGCTAACACTTCTTTATTGAGCTTCATAAATTCCAATAAGAACCCCGCTTCCTTTTCAGTTAGCAGCACCCTTTTGCCACCTAATGGTGCTAGAGTGATTAGGCCGCCATCTACATCAATTCTCTGTTGAATTTCATTGATTATTGTTAGAGATTTGACAATAGCCACCATGCCCCCTTCAAGCCATTGGAGTTCACTCTGCTTTGGTAGAAATTCCATAATTTCCTCCTATGTTTCCAAATACGAATTCTCCACCATTCGTTTTTTGGTATTTATTGTGTCACAGGATGCCACTTCCTCATTCCTTTTTTGTTGTCTTGCCTAAATTGGTGTCTTTTTCCGATGAGTAATGTCCCTTTCGTCCCTTTCCATCGTTCTTCCACGAATCAGCAGATGTTGAGACTTCTGTTCTTTCCCTTTCACCGCCTGGGCATATGACTGTCCTGGTTGTACCAACCTGTCTACTCTGTGCTGTTTTCTGCCTCCTTTACTCTCCCATTGCTTCGCTCCTCTGCTATTTTCACTCGCAGCTTGTATGATCCAAACCAGATGTCATTAAGTCTCCTTACCATCTGGTTGTCATTCTGTACCCTTAACAGACGTAGAAATCCATACCTTTTCCCCCATTTGTCTCGCTTCTTTGGCAGATAAACATCTAACACTTTTCCATACCTCTGAAAGCTTTACCATAAGTCTTTCTCCTCACAATTTTCTGGGAAATTGTAGAAGAAGAAAGTCTTTATATGTCCTAAAAGCTTTTGATCTACCCTCGGAATCCAACGCTTGAGCCTCTGTCGCTGTCTGGTGCCATTGGCCTCCCCTGTCACCGTTCCTCTCGCTCTAACCCTCTGGCTCTACATCTCTGATATTTTTTCACTTCTGACTATTTGGGAATATGGTTTTAAATATGAATTGTAACATTAATAATTACATGTATTAAGGCATTTCTGGAGACAGAGAGACATGTAGGAGAGTGCTATAACTATAGAACCAATAAAGAGACACAAATTAGACAGAACATATATAGTATGGTATTCAACTCATATTAGTAAACAAGCAACAATATTGCAAAGTAATGATTAGAAGAGAGTAGAAAAAAGGAGAGGGAGAGAGAGAAGGAGAGGGATTATTCTTAAATCAACTTACATATCTTATCTTTGATAGATTCAAGTGCACAATAAAAAGAGATGACACCTAAATTAATTTAGGTCTGTTAGGTAAGCATACTATATTTGTAGGCCTAATATAACAAGTAGTAGAATTGAATTTTGGTTGCTATTAGTATCATTCAGGAGAGAGAGAAGGTTGATAGAGGATGGAAACCTTGAACCAAAGAAAGTGCAGTTTGACAAGTTCCTTTAGCTATTTAAAAAAAAAATGTTATTTTTTTAGTCACGAGTGCTCAAAAACAAAAAACATAAAGCATATTTATGTTCTAAGCTTATAATAGAGAGTTCATAAACCTATAGTAGAAATTTAGGGTCATTATTATATGGAACCAAGGCAAGCTGAAGAATTTTAAGTTTGAGTTTGCCTTTTTAACTAGGGAAAAGAGCATAATAGAATTCTATTTATGTTTACGCTTTTATTGCAGTTCATTTTAGCTAATTTTTGTTTGTAATTGATGGATGTAACCGTTGGTGCTTTCTAGCAATTGAAGTCCTGGCTTAATTGGAAAAATCATTTTCCAAGCTTATAGATTGGCCAAAAAATTTCCCAAACTAATGTCTATGAGTCTCCTAATCATAACTTTCTATCATAACTGACAGTTTCATTTTTCATTTATTTCTAAATACAAACTCTACAATTGTTCCAGGAATAAGGGATAGATAGAGTCAAAGGCGCCCAAAAAAAGGGGATATATAGATTGGAAGGGGAGGAGCAACTATAGGAGAAACAATTGAACGACATAATGAGGCATGATAATAGATGTTTTAATAACAGTGACAGTTTCTTTTGAGTATTGTCTCAATACACTGTCATATTTTAAAGAGTTTGATATCAAATGTTTATTACAGAAAGTGAAAACACAACAATAGAAACTCTATGCAATGGGAACTGCAACAAAGGGAGTTGACTAATAAATTTTAATAAATAATTAATATAGTCTTTTTTTTCCTTTTTACATTTTTTTACACTTTTTTGAGAGAGAAAAGGGGGAGGGTGAGGAGTGATATTTAGATTTGATCTACTTACCTCATGTAAATGGCCACGAATACTGGTATAGTAGAGAATATTTCCTTAAGTTTTCCATTTTTTGTTGAATACATTGTCTCTATGGTCTGGTAAGCATGTTTCTACAATGTTTTAGCTAACTTTGCTTCATATCTGCTCATCAATCATTGTCATACTAACAACAATTAATTTTGGCCTGCAGGATGCTAACCTTACAATGCTTGCATTAACATTACATGAAGTACAATTTTCAACTCTAAGGGAGGTAAATATGAGGATACCTTTAATCCTTTATTTCTATTTTGTTTTTCTGGTAAATTTGTACCTTAGATTCTTACTCTTGATTTCTGGAGCAATGAAATTATATTATTAATTTCATTGTTATTAGGATGTTCTGACCCAAGAACACCAGCCTACCAATCAGCTGATAAAATATGCTTAATTTCTATGTTTTTTTGCAGGGTGGAAACTTCTCCAAAATCCTCCTCAACCCGTATATGCCCACCCGAGTGGAGGCAGTGGAGGATATACCGTCCCAGGCGGGGCAGCGGAGGTTATCCACGCTGTTAATATCCCTAAAGTGTCTCATCTTCGGCAAGAACCCTAGCTAGAAGTCAAAATGAAGTACCCTATGAGGTCTCTGCTTAATTGATTTCTTTAAGTTTGCAAGGGAAAGATATGGAATAAGAAGATGGGTGGGACTAAATAGTAATATTAATTGGCAAGTGATTTCATTAGTTATCATCACTTAATTAATTACCATGTATTGTTGGTGACAAACCAACTTCTGTTTTCTTTGTTCCTGTTTTTCATTGTAATTTTACAAAAATAAATTGAATGATTACTTCATTAGAGTTCTTGCAAAATAAAAACAATTAAATAGGAGAAGAGTTCTAATATTGAAAAAGCTGCTTTTTATCAAACTATTTCTATAATACAATTTGTGCACAACAGTTTCTCTCATTCATTATATATATATATATATATATATTTTGATAAGATTAATGGTTAGTAAGTTAGTTTTTATTAGTTGTTAACAACTAAAAATTCAATTTTCAGATATAATGAACATCTATCTTCCTCAATAAGACGCGCAACCTATATTAGATCGCTCGGTGGAGTTCTCCCATTCATTATACACCAGATAGACTTAAAGAAAAGTTGTTTCCGTTAAAAATAAAAAGGGGGCTGAAAATGACATTTTTGTTTAGTAAATCAATCATGCAAGGTGATTGATAAGGACAAAAATGTCACTGGAAAAGATGTCTTTTGAAACCCAAATTCACCGGTTCCTTTTTCCAATTCAAACTAAAAACATTAAACACTACGGCAGTGTATTATAGAATATTTTTTTCCATTACTTTTACAATGAAAATTTGTTTAGTATAATTATATCGTTATAGCAAACAACCCTGGCCTTCAACAGTTCAATGACATCGCCGCGTCTAAGTTCACAGTACAAATAATAAGGTGCATGTGTATTCTCAATCTCCTCCTCCTGAATATCAAAATAATAATAATAATAATAAATGGTTTAAATTCAATAAATAATTTATTAACTATATGATTTATTTCAATTTAGTTTAAAAATAATTTTTTTTTTAAATTATCTATAAACTATCAATTTTATTTCAAAATAGTTTACTT